GGGCAGGAGCCAGCAGGACAGGCCCGCATGGCCTGAGGGGCCGAAAGCTCAGAGGCAGGACTGAGAAGGGAGCTGGGGACACAGCGGGAAGGTCATGCGGGCGAGGCTCAGAATAGCTGATTGGACTCCCAGCCCTGACTTTTACCAGCCCGTGCGGCCCTGGGCACAACCCACCCTGGCCTCACTGAGCCTGCTTTTTCCTCCACAAAACGGGCACTGACAGGGGACATGCCCCTCAGGCTCTTGTGAGCGCCAGAGGGGACCGTCTGTGGGTAAAAGGCAGCAACCACTGGTCTTGGCAGTGACCCCAGTGCCTACCCCGTGAGGCCCAGGGCACGGGACGGGGAGCAAGGCCTCCTCTGTCCGGCTCCTCAGCAGCCCACGGAGACGTGTCTGAGCCATGTGACGTGAGCCTGGAGCCGCTGCCAGCTCAGATGCCTGTGGGTCGTGTGGACGAGTGAGTCAGGCCGGGCAGGATGGTGGCAAACTGGACAGCACGTGCCCTGTCTGGAGGGGCCAGCACCCTGCACACCGCAGGAATGTGGGCCCATTGTGGCCAGACAGTGCCGGTGTTCGGGAGAAATAGGAACTCGATATGTATTTGAAACATCCCGGCTCTTCCATGCTGGCAACTAACTCATTTTTAAATTTTCATGAGCCAAAGCCCCGGGTCTGTGGGCCAGAGGCTAACCAGAGGCCACCCGCCGGTCTGTGATCTCTGAGGGCGCTGGAAGCAGGGACTCCTGAGGGTCCTCGGTTGGAAAGCAGATGCTGAAGGGACATCCCAGGTCCTGCACAAGAGCTCAGCCCTGGGGGCCGCCTTGTCCCAGCTCAGTGCTGAGGCAGAGCCTGGAGCTGGGTGGGCCTGGGTTCGAATTCAGCTCTGCCAGTTACCAGCTGGGCGATCTTGGGCAAGTGCCTCTCTCAGCCTCACCTTCTCTTCTGCAAAATGGGCTCGTGGCCACCTGCATCTCTCCGTGGCTGTGAGGATGGGTCCATCACGGGCTGGGCGCTCAGGAGGGGCTCGCTACTCACTGTCCTGGGGGTCGAACTGAGAGAGGCCTGGGGCTCGGACTGTGCAGACAGCCGGAGCTGCTGCTTCTGTTTGCTCCCCTGCCCGCCAAGCAAACGGTTTTATTTTAGAGCTAGAGACAGGTTGTTGTGACAATGCAGAGGGTTCCCACACACCCCTCACCCCGCTTCTCTGTCAGCACCTCCTTACACCGTGCGTTGTGAACACTATACCCAGTTATCAGCGACCTCCACGGTTTACTCGCACTTCGCCAGCTCTGCCCTACTACCCTTTCCTGTTTCGGGATCACATCCGGGATACCAACCATACTGTGTATTTGGCCATCGGGTCTCCTAGCACCTCTGGTCTGTGGCAGCTTCTCCGCCCCGCCCCCCCGTCCTTGATGCTCTAGACAGCTTTGAGGGGTGCCAGTCAGCCATTTCGTGTGGTAGCCCTCGGTGAGGGCTGGTCTGATGTTTTTCTCCTGGTTAGCCCAGGGCTGTCAGTTTTTGGGGGGAACGCCGCCGAGGTGGAGTGCCCCTCTCACTACACCACGTGCAGGGGACGTGTGTCACCAGGACAGTGCATGGGGGGAGCCCTGACCACCTGGCGGAGGGGGTGCCAGCCAGGGACTCCCCTGACCACCCTGCTGTTCTCTGTGCTCCCAGGAAGATAGGGAGCGTGGGGAGACCCGGGAGCATGCCACGCCCAGTGCCCGGGAGGTCTCTCGAGGAGGATGGCAGCTGGGCTCTGAGCAGATGGGGAGGCGGCTAAGAGGAACTGGGAGGCAGGGGGCGAGGCAGAGCCCTGGACCCGGGGGATGTCGGGATGCCAGGTTTCCGGGCTCCCCTCCGGTCCTGGGCTGGCGGGACGCTCCTGTCTGCAGGCTCGGGCGCGCGCCGAGTCGGACACGAAGGCTTGCATGCTGGCCATCCCTAGAGGGGACTCTCAGGAGCAGCTGTGGGGGGTGGGGGGAGGGGAGGCAGAGGTCTCCGAAGTCCCCTGAGTGATTCCCAAGGGTTTGGGTTTGCTGCTCTGTCCTCAAGAAGTCGAGGCGGTGGCAGGAGCCCTCTGGGGTCATGAGTGGGGCCCGGGCTTGGAGCCGGGCAGGCCTGGCGGGCCCCTGGTTCCTGTGACCTCTGGGATGGGGACGGCCCCTTTCATCACAGGTAGCCCCGAGAAGCCGAGAGAAAGTGGGTGTGGCGGGGCTGGTTTCCACAGCACCTGGGGCGCCTGCGCTGGGGCCAGGCCTCAGGGGAGGGGGTGCTTCCATTCCCCCGACAGCATCTGGGGTGCCAGGCTATTTCCAGCCGCCGCACAGATGGGCTCTCACCTGCTGATTCGAGAACTGGTTTCCAAGGGCTCACTGGCACCACCGCGGGTTTGGTGTTGGTTTAAAGCAGGACTCTCGGGCGCGTGAGACAGCCACCCAGGTCAGCTCAGCTTAAGCAGGGAGAGCCCCTCCGCTCCAGAGCAGGAAAATGCCGGGGGAACACCAGCATCAGGCACAACTGGGCCCAGGGGCTCCAAGGAAATGGTCAGGTCCCTGTCCCGCTCTGCCTCCCAACTCTGCTTCCCTGTGTTGGTGTCCTTCTCAGGCAGGCCCCCTGCTGTGGGGGCAGAAGTGGATCTCAGGCTTGTGACCCATCCTCACAGGAACCTGGGTGGGAGTGGGGACATCCCTGTCCCAATAGCAAAAGTCCCAAGGCTGCTTCTCATTGGCCCAGCTTGGGTCACCTGCTCACCCCTGGACCAATCATTAGAGGGAGGGTCAGGCCTCCTCTTACCCCTCCTTCCAATGTAGGGGGGGTTTGGGGGGGTTGGCACAAATGATCCTGCTGGAAGATCAAGATGCCCCTCCCAGAGTGGGAAGTGGAGGCTGGGTAGGCCATGGTGGCACACACCCACCTGCTCTCTAGCGCGGTGCTGGGGGCCGAAGAGGTCACACTCCGAGCCCCCTGGCTCATCCCAGGCCACCTGTTCCTGGTGGACCACAGTCCAGTCCTCCCGCCAGCTGTGGTCACTTTCCCGAGTTTCTCCACCACCCCAAGGTGTGGTCAGGGGCTCGCTCTGGGGCCGAGATGGGAAAGCCTCCGCCAGCTTTCTCCCCGCCATCCAGGCTGGGGGCCTTGGGAAGAGGGTGGGGGTGAGCCTATTTGCAATGGCTTGTTCTCAAAGCCCCTGTGAATTCTTTGTGAGAATTTCCTTTTCTGAGCGCCCCCAGGGCTAACAGCTCCCAGCTTCTCGCCGGGTCCACCTCCCTGTGTCTCCTTCTCCTTTCTGAATGCAGGAGTGATACTTCTGCCCAGCACAAGCAAAGAGGTCACCATTTCTTGCATCCGATCTCACTGGATCTGAAGACTCCATTACACCTAAAGCTGCTATAAGTCCCTTCTGACCCCTTCTTCCCGGTTCCTTCATCATTAGATTGATTCCTTTTCTGGAAGTCTGTCCCCTTGGGGGAGGAGGCCGAAGCCCCGTCTGTGTGGCCTGGCCTGGTCCCTAGCCTTTGGGGACCCTCATGGGCCCCTCCCCTTGAAGCCTGTCTTTTCACAAAATGCTCCTCGGCCCCCAAGCCATGGGTTGGGAGGAGGGAGCTTGTCTTTGAACTGCCATTGTCCACTTGACTGTTGTGTTTCTAGCTGACACTGGCCCACAGGCCAGGTCTCAGGAGGTCAGGGTCACCCCCAATTGCATCCCTAGCGGCCAGATTACCTCCCGGCTATTTCCCAGTTGCCTTCTGGCTGCAGGGCTCTCGGAAGACTGGCATCCAGTCTGCGGGGGTGGGATGCAGCCCAGGAAGGTGCTGGGAGACAGGGGGCAGGCGGCCAAGGCCTGTGTCCCAGGTATCCTGCAAGTGGGCTGGGCCAAGGCGGGCTGACCCGGACTCAGTGGATGGAACGTTCTTTGTCCTTGTGTGAGGCTGGCCCTTGGCCAAGGTGAATAGCTGGTCCTGGCTTTCCTGATGTGGGCAACCACATGTGCTCCCTAGACACCTGACCGTGTCCTGCCTTATTTGAAGTCCTCTGATGCTTGTCTTCTGCAATTGAGAGGTCTCGGTGTGGGCAGAGTTCAGGGCCCTGGGGCTCAGACAGTAATTAGAATCTGCCTGCTACCACCCTAAGCCCTGTCCACCCTGCTGCCAGTCTCCCTAGTGGGAAGGGCATCTATCTCCACAGCCTGGCAGACCCTCTGTCCTTGCAGCTGTCCCAGCCGCTGGGATCAGCCCTGGCTCTTTATGGGAACCCCCTGGGAGCTTTGATGGTGCCCGGATGCCCAGGCTGCACCGCTGGCCAGAGACATCAGACTCAGGGTGGGGCCTGAGCGTAGTTGTTCGGAAGTCTCCCAGGGGACCCCCGTGTGGAGTCAGGTTTGAGGTGGTCTTCTGTAAAACCGGCTTTTCCTGGAGGTGCATGTGTAGCCTAGAGGGCCCACCCACTAGATGGGGTGCCCCATGGAGGATTCCCCCCTTCCTGGGCTCCCTGCAACAAAATCCACACCAGAAGTAAGTAAGCACTTCTTGAAATGGTTCTACTCAAAAACAAAAACAAAAACAGAACTAACACACGCGTATGGCGCACACGGCAGGCAGCAGAGATGGCTCCTTCGGGAAAGAACAGTCAGCCTGTCCCCTGGTCCCCCAGCGGCAGGCAGGCCCTGTGCCCAGGCTCCTGGGGACCCTGCCCAGCCATCTGAGCCCTCGAGTGCCGCCAGCTTCCTCAGCCAGGCCCTGCGAGAGCCGAGAGCAGGCCCTGCCTGTTCCTGCTGAGCCCCACCGCGCCTGGCGGAGGACAGGGACCCACGCGACAGCCCAGCTGCCCTCCGTGGGCGGGCTTCGCTCCGACAGGCACAGCTACCAAAGCGTCGCAGAGTCTCCGGGCACATGTACGACTCCCTGTGGGACGAGTCCCCCTCCAACTGGCACTCTCGAGTCACACGCAGGTGGGGTCACGTGGCTGATTGGGCACCCCGTTTTCTGTCATTCCAGAAGCTGCCTACGCAGGCGCCCCCAACCTTCGAGCTGCCCACGTTGTACAGGACCGAGGACTACTTTCCGGTGGACGCCCGGGAGGCGGCGCCCCCGACCGCCAGCTGCCGTCACCGTCTGTGAGCGCCGCGGCCCTGCCCCGGGGGGACGCTGGGAAGCGAGCCCCCTGGGCGGGCAGCTGGCGTTTCCTCTTCTGTTGTCATCGTTATTCATTTCTTTGCTGAGGTTCCTCCCTTGCTTCGGGGGAGGCCGCGGGGTCTGGAGAAATGTTGGAACCGGAGTGTGGCAGCCCCTCGTTGTCCACCAGCGTTGGGTGGGCGCATCTGAGGAGCCACCGTGCCCGAGGGACAGTGGGGATTTTCTATTGGAAGGGCTTTGTGCGGGAGCCACGGTGGCACCAGGTCCCTCACTGGCGGTTGCCTTTGTCACAAGCCCCAGCGGCCGCTGGCATGTGAATCACATCAATAAAGGCATCAAGAGCTCACCTGTGGTCTGGGTGTGGGGACAGGGTTGGGGGGGGGGGTGACCCGTCCCTTTTTACTCTGCATCAGTGTTTCCTCTGAGGCTGCTCCCGCCACCTGGGCACACCCGCCCCGAAATCCCTGATCCAGCTCCCCGCCCGCACCTGCCAGGGGGTGCACCTGCCACCTTTCAGGTCCCAGCAGGCGCGTGGAGGGCGGTCGGGACTTGCCCGGCTTCAAAGCTGCGCTGGCTTTCATGTCTTCTTATGCAGATGACTTTCCTGCTATTACTCCAAGAGTCCAGACTCCACACGTTAGCAATGGATACTTCTAGTTTTTCTGGAATTCCTCATAGAGCCAAGAGAACACACATACACATACGCACACACAACTGCAGACCTGTACTAGAATTTCAAGGGAAACTAACTTAATGAATCCGGTCAGATAACAGGAAAGGAAAACCAGGTCTTGCCAAATTTTAGGGTCGTTTTTGGAATTAAAAGATAACTGTGGACCCCGTGTTTCAAGAAAAGTCGATAATTTTCTAGGGCGATGACCTTTGTCAACTTTTATAATTTTTATTCAAGTTTTGTATAAATTATGTTCTAAATCATGGAAGCCTAGTTTCATGTACAGAAAGGAGCGCCTCGGCGTACGGTCCAATGAACGGTCCGATGGGTTTTCATAAACCGATCACCCCTGTTGACCCCGCCCTCAGGCCGAGAAACAAATGAACCAATAAGGTCAGCGCCCGGAAGCCCCGCCCCGCTCCGCGGCCCAATCTCACTCCGACACCTAACAGTGCGGACCCCCTGGCGGCCCCGGCACTCGCACTCGATAGGCTGGAGGGTGGCGGAAAGACGCCCACACAGTACGCGGTGGTCTCTGCGTCTGGCTTCCCGACTGACGCCACGCTGCTGTGATCGGTAACGCTCACGGCCGTGTCGTATCGATCGGGACTGTCTTCGATGATGGCGCTTAGATACTCGCTGTGCCCCGATCTGCTCGGCGGGAGCACGGATTCGATGGCGAGTTAATTTTTCAGAGAAGTGGTGAGGACAGCAGTTTCCAGAAGGCCGAGGCCTCCGTCATTCCAGAACCTGAACCAGGTGCCGGGCGGGCCGGCGTGGGGGTGGGGGTGGGGGCGCGGGGGGAGTGTTGGGGGGGAGACAATGTCATGTGATCTAGCTGCAGCAACCTAAATGTCCTTAAATGGAGATCCACTGGATAGAGGCTGTGAGCTTAAAGGCTCTGAGGCCGGTCAGCCCGTCTTGGGGGCTTCATCTCCTGTATGCCTCCGCTGTGTGACCCTGGACTACTTGCTTGCCCTCTCTGAGCCCAGCCTCCTCCTCTGTAAAAATGCGGAGAATAATGGCACCTGGCCTGTTGGGTGTTGTGAGGATGAAACAAGATGACCTGCACGAGCACTTGGCGTGGGCCTGGCGACCGGCACTCGGTAATGGGTGGCTGGGTGGGGAGAGGGCTGTGTGTTGCTTTTCTTGGTTGACCAGGGGCAGTTAAGGCCCTCAACAGCAGTGACTTAGCAACTGCCCTTGAACTTCGGAGTAAGGACAAGTCAGGAGTGAGAGCTACCAAAAGTCCAGTCCACTCTCTCTCAGGTCAGTGGGGTTGCATAAGAACATCTCTGGGGAAATGGCAGCTAGTGAACAGGATTGGCCACTCTGAGCTCCCTGGGGGCTGCAGTGCCCAATGGACTTTCAGGCACTCTTGGAGACACCTGAGGGAGGGAAGGCCCGACACAGAGCCTGCCAGGACTTCCTGACCTCTGTCCTTTGAGCTGCTGGCATTCTGGAAGTCCTGTCCTTGTTCCAGGTGACCTGATAGATGTCCCCTTTAAAGCAAGTGCCCGACTAGTTCCTGTCAAGTAAATAAAAGCCTTGGCTACTGACTCGAGCAGGTCCCAAGCCCGTGGCAAAGGTCACCTTGCAGCCCAGGGAAGGGTGGTCTTTTCCTTTCTTCCGTGGTGGGTGTTGGGCCCAGACACCAGCAGAAAGGCTGTTGCAAATTTTCATAAGCAAAGCACTTCCGCCAGCCACCTCCCCACTTCTCCAGTGGGTGTGAACTTCGTGTCTGTCAAAGCCAGAGGTTTCAAGACGGCGGCCCCTGGGCTGACAGCAATGTGTGGTTTGCCCTGGACCGTTTTTAAATTGTTTTCATGTTGAGACAACTGGGCAACCATCTGGGAAAAAAGTGAGTTCTATACCTCACTCTGTACACCAGGAACAGTTCCAAAATTCCAAATGGATTAAAAAGGAGTTAAATGTATAAAAAATAATTTATGAGGAGGCAGAAACAGTACAGAATCATACAAAATCCAGATGCCATAGATCTAGATAAAATTGAATACACACACATATATATGTGTGTGTGTATATGTGTGTGTATATACATATATACTATATATATATAGTTAATCCTCTGCATGGTAAAAGAGAGAAAGAAAGAAAAGGAGGGAGGGAAGGAAAGGAAGGAAGGAAGGAGAGAAAGAAAGGGAGGGAAGGAAGGAAAGAAGAAAAGGAAGGAAGAAAGAAAAGAGAGAAATCCCCAAAACAAAACAACAAGATCCTAAGCAAATTCAAAAAACAAATGACCAACAAGGCAAATGACAGAGAGAGTATATTTGCAGCCCCTATTACAGAGGGTAAAATATAAACAGCTCCTAGAGATAAATCAGAGAAAAAAAATAGAAAAATGGACAAAGGATATAAACAGGCATTTCACAGAAAATGCAGATGGTTTTTAAACATTGGAAAAGCTAGCTGACCACAATCCATGCTGTAAGTATGAGAGAAGATTGAAATTATTCCGTTTTCACTTACCAGGCTGGCAAAGATGAAATGTCTTTTGAAGACAGCACTGGTGAAGTTTTGAAGGAAGGTTCCTTCCCCTACATTGTTGGGGGAACCATTCTCATGGCGGCACCTAGGAACATCAGAAGTGTGTATCCCCTGGAACCTAGAAACTGCACCCTTAGGGACCCAGCCTCCCAATATACACGGAAAAGGAACGATAAATGCAAGGGGTTATTCACTGTGTGTGGAAACAGGAAAAGATGGGAAAGAAGCCAAGCGTCCGCCACTGCGGGGTTGGTTCAGTTATAGCACGTCCCTGCGTGAATGGGTAGACAGAACCCGAGGTTGTAAGAATAGATCAGGAATTCTTAACGAACCAGGATTGCAATATCACCAAGAAAAGCCAAAGTGCATGGAATTGTCCATGATATGCCATCGCCTGTAGGCGAAAGAAAGGCATGGACGTCCTCCGGGAGGATAAACAGAAATTTGAGCGTGGTGAATATTTGTTTTGGGTGAGAAGTGGACTTATCTCTTTTGTATACCTTTTGGCTAGTTTGGTGTTGACCTATTCCAAAAATTCAGTTAAAATCGGTTGCCAGCAATGAAAAACTTGCATCGTCCAGGCAAAGAACTGGATTTCCAGTTTCTTTGCAAAAACTGGAACTACCTGGTGATTCTGGGCTCACGTTCTTGCAAGGCAGCGAGGCGCTACAGCTGAGTTGCTTTGGAAGGTGCATGCACTCCGGTTCTCTTGTATCCAAATGATCCGCTAATTGATTTTACCTGCCTGGCTTTTGGGAGCCTTAGAACCATGGAGAATTTACTTCCAGGATGCGGGGTGTGTTCAGGGTCACTGCAATTCAAGCAACTGACAGGCTAGTGAGCATCTCTGTGCCCAATCTCAGATTCCACGGGGACAGAGGGTGGCGGGGGGGGGGTCTCCTTATAGGAATGCGCACTTCCCACAGCTCTCCTTTGGGGAGTAATGGATACCAAGTCAGACAAAGATATCGTAAGAGAACTGCAGGCTACCATACCACGTGAATATAGATGCAGAAGCCCTCAACAAAATGTTAACAGACTGAATCCAGCGACCTAGGGAAATGACTGTACACGGTGACTGAGTGGGCTCTCTTAGAAATGCAAGGTTGGTTTAACAGCTGGCGATCAGTGTAACCCACTGTATTAATGTAGGTCAAAAACCATGCGGTCACCTCGATAGATGCTTTTGACAAAAAGCTTTTGACAAAATCCAACATCCTTTGTGGTCAAAGCTCTTCTTCCTGAGGTGGAAAGGGTGGTGGTCAGAGAGGAGCGTCGGGTGGCTTGTTGGCCCAGGCAGCCGGCAGTGTCCTTCCTCCCCATCTTAAAGCGAAATTGCACTTTGTCTTACGGTCAAGAGCAGAACCGTGTGGGGGTTTGGAAAGATTCAAAGCCCTCCTGACTCTGAGCCACTGTGGAGGGGTGGGGGGGCTGGACATTAGCTTCTGCCCCCTTTCCTGGGTCCCCTGGCCAGTCTGCCCTGCTGGCACACATGGTGCGAGTTGGAGGAAGGGGCTCAGAGCAGACTGCAGCCGGCAGATGTGCCGGGCCGGGATAAAGGCAGGGTTCCCTTGAAGAACCGAAGCAACACCCCAGCCTCAATGCTGGAGGCCTGCCCCTTCACCCGGAAGCACCTCTCTCATTGGGCTTACCAAGGTGCTGCTCCCTTACAAAGGGAACAGTTAGCGGTTCATCAGCATCACTCTTCTGGGCGAGCTAGGCCCGAGGCGCAGGCGCAGGCGCAGGAGGAGGCCTGGAGGGGCACCCCAAGACCCAGGTATGTGCTTCTCTTCTGTTGGCGGGCTGTGTGGTCTCATTGTCCCGGTGAACCGTGGAGACGTGAGGGCATTAGCTTGCACAGGTGCAACTGTTGGCGTCGTGAGTGTGGAGATGGTTTTTTGAAGGCTGTCTGACCGGTGTTTGTTGAGTGGGGGGAACAGAAAAAGTTCTGGGGACTTTTGGGGAGCCGCTGGCAGCCAGTCTACAATTTTAATCAGGGGAAGTCTCGTGCTGTAGCCCAGGTTCACTTGCGTGTCTTTAAAACAGTGGCGGGCAGTCTGGGCTGCACATTGGAATCAGCTGGGCCGCCCCCGGGACCAGCTACATCAGAGCCCCCGGGGGAGAGGCCTCAGCACGGCCAGGCTTCGTGACTCCAGGATGCGCCGGGGGTGGGGGCTCAGTGCGTTTACAGAACAGCCGTCAAGAGATTTTAACTTTTTAAAAAATCGATTTTAGAGAGGAAAGGGAGGAGAGAGAGAGAAATACCAATTTGTTGTTCCACTTATCGATGCATTCACTGGTTGATTCTTGCTTGAGCCCTGACTGGGGATCGACCCCACAACCTTGGCGGGTTGAGATGATGCTCTAATCAACTGGGCTACCTGGCCTGGGCAGTGAGATTTTTAAAGGAGGATTTGCTACCTCTTTTCCAGTTGTAACAACTGCACTTTCCTTCTGTTTTCCATGCTTGACGAGGTTTCGTTTGAAAAGAGCAGTGGCCTCAACGGCTGTCTCACACCTTCCTGAGTTTGGTTGGTGCAGGGCTGGGTTTGAGCTGCTTTGTCTCTCGGGTTGGATTGATTCTGTTAGGGCGGAGTCGCTCAAGAAACCAGATGGACGCAGCGAGCTAAGGAGCAGGGTTTGTTAGTGGGGAATAGGAGGGAAAGTGGGGCCAACCGAGGGAGGTTGGGGAGTCAACCCAAGGAGGTCAAGACTCGCTCGGTTGTTCTTAGGGCAGCTTGGGGTGTCAGAGTCTGACTGGCTAGAGCTGGTTGCGGGGTGCCGTTTCTGCTGACCGTTGTTCTTGATACATCTTGTGAGGCTCCAGTTAAAGCTGCATCTTGTGATGCCAACCCCAGACCCCAATCACAGCCGGGCATCTGTTTGTCCCGGGTAGGGTCGGCGGGCACTATCCCAGGCTAGGTTCCCACGGTCCAGTTTTCCCGCCCGGTGATTTTCCATTCCTCCTGGGCCTGCCGAGGTCTGTCCGATTCGACCCCAGGTCCAGAGATGTGTGCCGACTGAGGTAAGCCAATCGAGGTCATCCTAGCGCAGCAGCTCACTAAGGTAGCTCTGGCCTGAACCATCATCGGCCACAGAAATTTGTTCTGGAATGGTCCGCTTGGCTCTGCATTTAAGAGTCTTTTTCGATAGCGAGGGACGGGAACCCCTCTCAGGGAAGGTGGATGAAGTGCCCAGTGAACACCAGTGTGCCTGCTGAGGATGCAGGTGACCGCGTGGGTGTCAGGAGGGAAGGACAGAGGACCTGGGCCCTCGCTGGTGTCACTGAGCAGCCTGCCCCCACTCAGCCACAGTGGGATACCTGCGTGCCCCTGTTATTAAGCCCAGTCTTAATTGGAATTCCTGTTACCTGCAAGTGAGACTCTCCTTTCATAAGAAAGAAGTCTAAAGCCAGGAGAATTAGGTAGTGGCAGACTTCCCTGGGAAGCAGTCTGGGCCAGAGCCATCTCTTAACGTAGAGCAGGGGTGTCAGACTCATGTTCACCGGGGGCCACATCAGCCTCGCAGTTGCCTTCAAAGGGCCAGATGTACCTTTAGGACTCTGTAAACGGAACTACTCCTTGACAGTTCAGCGAGAGCCCGCGGGCCTTGTGTTCGCCACTTGTGACCGAGTTGGGTGCCACCGGCTTGCTTTAGGTAACACAAACCACACTGAGACGGATCTAAGGCTCACAGGCCAAGGAGAGATTCTCGTTTTGATGCAAGTGTGTCCTGAACCCCTCTGATTTTCCTTTAAAAAAATAGGAAACATGTTTAGAAACATTTCATGTATATATTTTAAAGATTTTATTTTTAGAGAGAGGGGAAGGGAGGGAGAAGGGGAGAGAAACATCAATCGGTTGTCTCTTTCATGTGCCCTGACCTGGGACCGAACCCGCAACCCCGGCATGTGTGGTGACTGGGCATGGTGACCTTTTGCTTTTTGGCATAACGCCCAACTGAGCCACATTGGCCGGGGCTCATTTTCCTTTGTAATAAACAGCCAGTCTCAGGCTCACAGAGCTCAGCAATCACAGGTGGCAAATGTATAGTGTCATGTTTGGTCTCTCTGGTATTTCTTTTTATGGATGAGAGCTTTTAATTTGGCTTTTACTAAATGCCAAATTATACTGGTTGTCCCCACTCCCCCCCCCTTTTTTTTGTAGAGACAGTTTCCTTTTCAAAAAAGGCGAGTTGAACTGTACTAAGTACATAAAGCAGTTCTTAGACAGATGGGGCAACAATGATGAAGACGACAGCGAGTGTCGTTTGGAAACGCTGTCGGGGAAAGTATGTGTTGGTTTGGAGATGGGGGCTCTTGTGTCTTCGCATTTGCAGCTGGCAGCCTGTCTTCCCAGGCTAGTGTTCAGCCGGGACCAGGGCTGCGTGGTGTGGTCGTGTACCCGGGTGTCTGGACTCGGACAGCCTGGGTTCCAGTGAGGCGCTCTGAGCCTTCCTGTCCAGACACCTGGCGCTAATACTCCCTTTGCAGGACTTTTATTTGGGGTGGGGCTGGGCTGTTCTGAGGACTCAGATTACCTTGGAATCTAGTGCCCTGTGGCTAGTTCCGGAGCTCTCCCGGGATGCTCTGGGGAGGGCGTGAGCTCCAGGTGTCTTTAGGAACAGGGAGGGTCACACTGCTAGGGGAGTGGAGTCACGCCGCTGGCCTGGCTGTCCCGTCCTTGGAGGACAAGGCTGCCGAGTTGGAGCCTCTGGGCTCCGTCTTCCCAGGGAAGCCCACAGAGCTGTGCTGGCTGACGCAGCCACCAGCAGGTTACCCTGCGGTCTCCAAGGCAGGGAGGGTCCTTGCATTCCTAGGCGCCCAGATGGCTGCTTGCCCTACCCTGCGTCACACACCCTGCCTCAGGCTAGGTGGGGCTGAGACAGGGCTGCCTTCAAAGGACATTAGAAAAGCTCTTTTTTCCTTCTAGGTGCTTGCTTGATCAATTTTGAAAAGGTGAACAATTTGCTTATTAGGACATCTGTTTTGCTTCATTTAGTAATGCGACAGTGAGCGTACAAGATTTGTATTGCAAAAACCAGTTTGGGTCAAAATGGCTGTACATCTGAGACCTGATGGTGTACTGGGGAGGTGGGGGAGGGGTTGGTTTGGATCTCAGACGCACAGACGTTGTGTTCTGAAACACACACACCTGCCACAACTCATTTAACTGGAACCAAAGATTCTGCCCCGTTGTCTGTTCATAGGGCAGCTGTCCTGGAAATGACTAGGAACCCCCCTGCCTGGGTCCTTCGTTGGGGCACTTTGAAATGGCGCCTGAAGGACTCCCAGGACATGCAGTTTTCACCTCGAGTGTTGGCTTTTGCACCCAGTCCCCACTCGATTCAAGTCACAGTGAACGTGAGAGTGGACTCAGTTGGTGGGAAGTAGCAGGATGCAGTTACCGAAGGGCGACCCTCCTCGGGTGCACGTTTGGATGTTTTCAAGCTAACCAACCTTCCAGTGGTAGCTGGTAGATGCCTTGTTTTTGCTTTTTAATTTGACTGCTGAGAGTTTATCGCAGCTGAAACAGTCTTTTTCTAGAACACCGTATGGTGGCCAACTGATAGTTGGAACAGCATCTCACAGTAGTGGAAGCTGCTCTTCTCTCACTGCCAGTCTTCTGGGGGTTTATGTTTTTACATGACACATTGGTGAAACATGCCTGCAGCTGGTGCCAGCCCGACGAGCAGCCAGGGTGGGTGAGGAATGCGGGTCACAGTGGGTAGAGAAGTCCACTGCTGAGGGGAGGGGCAGGAGGCTCACCCGACACCTAATGTACGTCATGTCCCATTACACTTTGTTAGTAAAGAACAGACTCCCCATCACTCAGCCTAAGTGGTTCTCAAGCTGCAGTGGCAGAGTCACCTAGAGGGGCCCCGCCCGGCGGGTCTGGCGCTGGCAGCCTCCAGTGGGGGTGGGGAAACACCCACGTGGCAATGCTCCCTCGGCAAGAGCCATTTTAATGGCTCGTAGCGAAGTGTTTCAGCCGGGGCACTCCCCTATGTTCGCCTGATCGTTCTCAGACCTGGCACTTGTGTGTTGCCTTCTGAAATGGTGCGGTTTTACGAATGGGCAGGCATCTGGACCACACACGCGACTGCAGGGCGATAAGAGGGGCAGCTCCGCCGCAGCCCAGATCTCAAAGAGGGGACAGAGACAGTGCTCTGGAGTGCTGGAAAGGGAGAAACCAAGTGCGCCAGTCTGACTCTGGAATCACGGCCACAAGAAGGTTGAAGGGCAACCAGTTCCCTGGAATTGTTTCTTCCTTGTTAAAAAAAAAAAACATCTACAGAATTGCTCAAATTCCAGTTATATTCTCTAATTACCCAGCAGGTAGCAGCTTGCCACAGCTTTTAGTTTCAGATCATTCCAAAAGCAAACAGTAGCAACAGCTTTCTTTTAGTAAAAATGGCTTTTATTGAGACACTTTTAGGGCTTCTGCAACATTTTCATTAGGTCCACTTCTCAGGTGGCTAAACGCTCTTCTGAATGCTGACAAGGTCCACTCCCACCACCCCAGCAAGGAAGCTTTCCCGTCGCTGCCCCCCCCACCCCGGGCTATTCTGCACACCCCTCATTAGTATTCCATGTAGGACTAAAAAGCCCAGGACCAATTCTTCCCACCTGGTAATTAGGCAGAGCAATTTCAAAACAAATGTGAGATGGCTTCAATTCAGCTGATACCACCATCCTTCCCAATGCTATTTTTTTTTTATTTGGTGTTTGGGGACAATCTGTCCTAAGTATTAGCTGGTGTCCACAGAATTTATAACCTAGCAGTACGGAATTTAGCCTCATGCCAACCCCGAGTAGCCTAAAGATTCTCTTATGCTTTCTCATGTATTGAGTAGTATGATGTTTTAGGAGGTTGCTTGAGTTTCTACTCAGGCAACAAAAGCATTAATGAGATGAATCTTTTGGAGTCTTAGAAATTATGGACACCACCCACTTCAGAACTCTTAGTTTAGGCCAATATCCCTGCATGGATTGGAGGATCCCATCACTGTCATAATTGCTGAAAATGTTGGCTAGTACTACCTCCTTGTAACTTACTGTTCTTTAGTATTAGTTGCTCTTGGGAATCCTTGCATAGTAAATATACCAGCTCCTTCCATTGTGAAAGCCCTCCAAACGTGTGATCTCCAAAGCCTTTTTCTTCATAACAAGATGGTCAAAAGAGAGTTTGTATAACAGAGTCGTTTACCTGTTCAGTACAATTGTTCCCATAAGGTGAAAAGTAACATTCATTTCATTTAAAAGAAAGGACACCAGGGCATTAAGATTCTGCTTGCAAATTAATGTCAATTTATGTTCTTATCCTTTTATCATCGCGACATTTACATACGTAAGCAGGTTCCTGCTCCCTAACAAACGGGGAACTAAAAAACACAAGGGTGTTCATTTTAGCAGATAAAAAGGAAAAAGACAAAACCAAAAGAATGTTAACAGGTGCCACGAAAGCGATCCTTCTGCCAGTGGCAGACCACAGTCTTCCACAGGCATCCTCGGTGGCGGTGGCTTCCGTGTCCGATGAAGGGGAGCCACGGCACCAACTGGCACAAGACAGACTCATGGACACAGAACTGTAATGTGTAATAAAGCGAGTATTTACATTAAGCACAATACAGCAATTTATTTAGATGCTTAAAATGAATACAAAGGGAAATAAAGATCACAAAATTATACATACTACAACAGTGTGTCATATATTAGATGGTATAAATGAATACACCAGGTGGTGTTTAACTAAAGAGAAAACTAAATACCCAAAATGCAGCACGCATTGGTTTGCTGCGCCAACACAACACTTTCATACAGATCTAAAAGGTGTCAAAATTAGTAGCTGCAAAGTCAATTCTTGCATGTGATTTTAGCTTAAAAGATTTCAGAAAACAGATTCTGAAATACCGGTTTTTGTTTGTCAGCAGTAATGTCAAGAATATTCAGAACAAGAAAAATTCTATAATACAAGAGAGTCCAGATATATATCTTACGTGGCTGGCCTCTGTTGCAAGATTGTACAAGGTTATGTGCAAAAACTAAGTCTGTTCAAAAGTCCATACTAGCGTCGTTTCAGGCTTTGCTAGGTAAACTAGATACAGCGTTTATTACACAGCAAGGGCAACACTAAAAAAAAACCTATGATGGGTACACAGTAACAATATCATAAGCATCACTTGAATAGGTCTAAAAGACTGTACAAATATACATTTCAACTATTCAGAATGAATACATGAAAAAAACCAAACTTCCCCGAAGTCTACTGTACACATCGGACTGGTAGCTTTTATGTTGGCCCTATGCTACCATGTGAATCAGAACACTTCTTAAGGACATCCAACCAAACATTTTACAGGGGGAAAGAAATGTTGAGAAGGCAGATAAAATAAACCTTTGCTTTTTCTCATGTGCATACGTGAGCCACCAGCTTACTGGTTTTTCACATTGAGTCACTGTGTCACAGCCAAGTTCTGAAGCAAGACCACTGGGCACAGAAACCACCACTGGGGTCGCAGTGGCCACAGGTCCGCACAGCCCGAGGACCCAGCACTCGGAAGGCCGTACCAGTCAGAGCGGTTCTGCAGACACACTCGGAGGGCAACCGAGGTCCAGGCTGCAGCATGTCTGACGCCAGAGGACCTGGCGCTCACGCCTGCTGGCTGCTCAGTTTAACCCCGGTTAAGCTGCCGTGCATCGGCTCAGCCACGCCGTCGGCCATGTTCTCAAACTGCTCCCCGTCCTCACTGTCAATTGTGCTATTCTGCCACTCAATCTGTGGGTTGGATAAGCGCTCGTCATTTTCAGATGCATTCTTCCACTGTGACTGGTCCTTGGACCAAAACCCTTCAACTTTTCCATAGGAACTATTCTTCCATTTCAACTGCTCTCTCTCACCTTGCACGGTAGCCTTTTTTTTGGCAGCTGGCTTACTGCTCCTTGCGTCTTCGCTCTGGGAAGACTCATCGGACCAGGTTCCTGGTTTCACTTCACACGCGTTGTCTTCCAAGTCTGACACCTGCTGGGAACCAGGGCCGCTCTCCGATGGAGAAGCGCCGTCTTTCCACTCCACAACATCCTCTTGGTCAGCCTCACTGTCAGAAGCCTCGTGCATTAGTTTGGCTGGTTCCTCAGTCAAACGGAGCGTTTCAAATTTGGAACCATCTCCCTCTTTTTGGTCTAGCTTCTCCTCAGATTCGAAAGCATCCTCAGAAATGACCTTCGGTATGTGCTCCTCTGGATTATCATTAGACATTTTAGGCTCAACTTCAAAAACAGGGTCAAAAGGGCTACCGCTTCCGTTGGACTCTTCTTCCAAATTTTCAAAACTGTCTGAGGAGCTGTCCTCTTCCTTCCCAAGGTTGAGCTTCTTGTCAGCAGTTTTACTAGCATTGACTCTGGAATCCTTCTCATCATGATTTTCGAAGAGCCACTCAGCATCAAAATCCATCTCGTGCTTAACTTTGTTTAGTTCTTTCATGTTGAAGCCCAGCAGCACACCTGGCTTGTACTTCTCGCAGTCTCGGACACACTTCTTCCTCTTGTTACTGAAGTGGGAGGCAATGTCACTCTTCCACAGCCACAGACTGGCCGCCAGCTTCTCGATCTCTCTCCTGGTGGGGTAGGGCTGCTTGTTGAAATACTTCGTTAGGAAGCTTTTCCTGGCTTCGTAGGAATCATCTTCGTGACCCTTGGGGTCTAAAGCTAAAACAACAGGCTCCTCAGGCTTCTCTTCAAAGAAGCCAGGCGAGTCGCTGTCTTCTTCTAACTTTCGCTTTTTCAGCAAGGGGAAGTCCATCTGCTCGTAAGTGCGCTTCACAGGCGCCAGTCCTGGGGACTGGTTGAGCCGAGACGGTGCGTTCGTCTTATCCTGGCCATTCTGGGCCTTCCCCACGCCCCTGCAGTGAACCAGATGCAGAGTGATAGTTGAGGCGGTCATGTTGCTGGTATACACACCAAGGCAATGGATACACTTGTAGGTGAGCTTCTTCTCCACTGGATGAACTGTCTGAATAACCTGGTGCCTCTCTCGTAAGTGATGTGCAAGTGCGTCAGATATGGGTCCTTTTAGGATTGAAAAGCAAAGAGGGCAAAGGGTTTTTCCGACATCTTTTTTATAGGGCACCGCAGCTTGAGGTGAACTCTTAACAGGGACATCTGCTTTCTCCTGAACTTTTGGCTGTGGCTTTGGAGGGATGGGAGGGTTGTTCTGGGCATGGTAAGCAACAGATTCGGCCGGGGCGTCCCTCAGGTTGTACGTGGTCACGAGGAGGTGAATGTTAGTGTGACTACCCTGCTGCAATGTCAAATCAAAGCTCAAGGTAGAATCTGTTTTAGGTCCCATCTCCTCATCGATGTGAACCATCCTCATGTGCGCTGCCATCTTCTCCACGTCATTGAATGTTGAGCGGCAGTACGGACAAGACAGACCATGAATTAACATATGGTTGAGAAGGGTATCTGTGGGCAAGTAGCGATTACAGTAGAGGCATTTGCTAGTAAAATTGTGTATTTTCATAATGTAGTTGGCCACTGCCGGGACTTTCTCAGCTTTATGTTCTTTTTCGAAGTGCACACTGTAGACATTTTCAGGAAAAAGCTCGTTACAGATTGTACATATTTTCCACTTCTGGGTTGAGGAAGTGTTGGCAGGGGGAGGGCCCGTGGCAGCAGCAGCAGGTTTGGAGGTGGGCTGACCTAACACTCGGGACGCCTGTGGCTGGGGGAGGGAAGGCGACTTCAGCTGGCCCGATGAGAGAGACGAGGCGTTGGCAGACTGCAGGGCGTACCGTGCCGGCGCCTGGGACCTCTGCTCGGCCCCAAGCCCGTAAGCCCGTCCGTTCCCACTGGGAAGTAACTGCTTCACAGACTGAGACTGCTGAGGCATGGAAACGGGCGCGCTGCCGCCTAGGCCCAGCCTCATCGACTGGCCAACGCCATAGCCCTGGCCTACAGATTTGACGCCGTAATTGTTCTGCTGCAGGTGAACACTGGACATCATGTTGACGCCTGTAGAATTTAAGTTAGGCTTTGGTATGGAGAGTCGATTCACCATCTGCTGTGAAGGCAAAGACCGGACATTTCCAGAAGCAAGGGGACCAATTCTTGACTGGAGTCCCACGCCCTTCTTATCTTGAGGTTTGGGAGCAATTAGCATCAGAGGTTTGGATCGGGGAACCACCACATTCGTGTGCCCAATCATGGCAGTGACCTGGTAGCCTATGCGTTCATGGTCTTCGATGACATGTTGTACCAAAGCTTCGTAGGACTTTGGCATGAAAAGGCATCGCTTGCAGTGAATACTACCCTCTTCCCGGGCATTCGAGCCTAGGGGGACAGCACCGTTGAGCGATTTTTCACCTGCCTTTGCTATGTAAGGTGCTGCCACATGCTGAAAATGTTCCCTGTAAATGTGCTTCCTAACTATTTCATAAAGAGGATCTCGGTAAGTGCACTTCTTACAGTAATAAACAGCTTGCTCTACACTGTCAGCCTGCTTAGGTTTAAGGCCATCATTTTTGCTTTTATCTTTGAAAGTGCTGAGGCTGCTACTTGGTGCGCTGACGTTTGGAGCGTGGAATATTTTGATGTGTGTTTCCAAAGTCTTTTTGTCTGCATTGAAGGTACAGTAGGGGCAATTAAGGAGAATCCTGTTTTCAAAGTCTTCACTGTGGACATTCCGAAAGTGACTTTTGTAGGCAGAGAAGAATTTCGAGGAAAACGGACACGCGCTGCAGCAGAAAGGTTTTGTCCGGTAGTCCTAGAGAGAAGACAAGAGCGGGGTCAGAATGCCGCTGGACAGGCAGTAGCAGGTTCTAGGTTTTTATTCAGGCATTCTCTATTCTTAACAGACAACTTACTTTTAGAACTGAAGCTCTCTAAAGCATTTTTTTTCTTTTGCAAAATAAATTCATGAAATATACTCAAGTGAGAAAGCTGTTTTAAACTAAATACTTTTGAGTCCCACAGTGTAAGTAACAAACTCAATTCTAAGTTCTTCTTCGGTGCTTAGAAAAGACCAGAGTCCCACTTGCTGACTGGCTTTAGACAAACCAAAGACAAATGGCTTCAAGATAAACATTCTACCGTTAGAAACGACGAGAACAAACTACGTGCAATCACTTTCACTCTGTGATCAGCATGGCTTCAGATTTTATACAGTAAAATTCAGAGCCCAGTGTTACAGGACAATTAGGCAATAAAATATAAAGATACAGCTTTTATCCTTCCCATCATGGGAAAGTTTTCACACAAAAAGGCACATCTTCAAAAACCTCATTTTTCCCTCTGACAAAAGACCAGGATAGTACTCAGATTTCGATGCTGATCCAAACACTGATTTGAAAAGTAGGCTTTCTTCTACAAGCCATGCTGTTCCTCCTTAACCAAGAGCAGCTTTAACCTTTTCAAAGAAGTAATGAAGTTGACAGCTTCTTTGACTCAAATTAAGAATTTAAATAAAAAATATCTTACAGACTGCAAGGAGCCTGTGGTGCTACAAAAAGCCAGAAGTGCCCTGCTCACTGTTACCACTCGTGCCGCGGGTCCTTGGATGAGGACGGGGAAACATGAGGCTGGCCAGAGATGGTCTCTTCTCCCCGGAAACCTGCTTGTAGATTACTGGTTTCCATCGAAATGAAATACTGTGCTTTCCCTTAAATCTCAACCTTTCTTTAGTTAAAATATGAGGCTCTGGGACTCCTAAAACTTAGTCATGTATCCTACTTGGAAACTTTTTTATACTAAAGACTGTTGGTTAATACCTTTTTCTGGGGAATTAGTAAATTAGAACCAAATTTTAGAACCAAATTTCTGTTTGGTTCTATCTATCAGATACTATAAAATTTCTGAGGAAAAATTGAAAAGTACTAATTAATTCTCTGACAAGTATGTTCCAATAGGTGAACAGATCAATAATCCAGAATTATAATAGCTACTGAAATAGGTAATGGTAAAGTTTGAACCGATAGTCACTTCTCCCTGCGGAACAGGAAATGCAACCCATTAACTTCCTCTCTGTGGGTCATAGCTTCACCTAACAATATTTGTTGGTATTGCTAGTGCCTTGCACTCAGTTTTCAACTCCAATTTGTAAAACTTTAAGTCACACCTCTCTGTGACTGTTGCCTTATTGAATCACCAACCCCACCTCCCACAGAGGTGGGTGGCATCAACATAAATAAGAAAACTTAAATGGAAGAATGAGTCTGGTTCTCCCCTCTGATAAAACAAGGGTTGCAACACACAGAAAAATGATGGATAACCTAGATGAACAGAATGTTGGAGGGATTTCAGAAACAGAAGTAGTCCTTTTTGGGGAGCAGGGGAGTGCTAGCATACAATGGGCTTCAGAATTTTTAAGTAACAAAATTTCTAACTTTTAAACTTGAAGTTTTAGTCCAATGACAAAAAGACACAGTTCTTCTTAGTTTTCCCTACCACTAAGAAAATGTGAAATACAGTCATGCGTCACTTTACGAACAGATATATATCCTGAGAAATACATCATTAAGTCATTTCGTCATTGTGCGAACATCCCAGACCTAGATGGTACATACAGCCTACTATACACCTGAGCTATAATATAGCCTGTTGCTCCTCAGCTACAAAAACCCGTACAAGTTACTGTAATGAATACTATAGACAATCGTAACAGAATGGTTAAGTATTGTGTGTCTAAACCTACAAAAGGTACAGGAAAAAATACGGTATAAAAAATAAAAAACAGCACACCTATACACAGAGAGCACTTACCATGAACGGAGGTTGCAGGACTGGAAGTTGCTCTGGGTAACTCAGTAAATGAGTGGTAAATGTGAAGGTCTAGAACATTCCTACCTACTACTGTAGACCTTAAAAACACTATACATGTAGACTACACTAAATTTATGAAAACAAAAAAGATTTCAATTTTTAGAGAGGCGAAGAGAGAGGGAGGGAAGGAGAGAGGGAGAGAAACATCAGTATGTGGTTGCCTCCCACACACCCCTTTACTGGGGGCCTGGCCCACAACCCAGGCACGTGCCCTAGACTGCGAATCGAACCTGAGACCCTGTGATTTGCAGGCCAGCACTCAATCCACCAAGCCACACCAACCAGGGCATCTTTTAATAAATTCTTCTTAGCTTACTATAACTTTTATGCTTTATAAATTGTCTTTAAGATGTTTTGACTTTTTATAACCACCACTGAAAGCATAAACACATTGTATAGCTGTATTATTTTTTCTTTATATCCTTATTCTATAAGCTTTGCTATTAAAAAAACTTAAACTTTTTTTGTTAAAAACTTAGACACATACAATTAGCCTAGACCTACACAGGGTCGAAATCATCAAATATCACTGCCTTTCACCTCCAAATCTTTTTGCACTGGAAGGTCTGGTCTTCCAGTGCCGGGGGCTGTCTTGTCAGCTCTGAGAGAACAATGGTTCCATTTGGTCCACCTCCTGGAGGAGGTTCCACTCTTTTCAGAAATGTCCATGGTGGTTTTCCGTGGTTTGTTTTTTTTCATTACAGACCTGCTTGTTGGCAGATACTGCACCTCTGCACCATGAACATTCCTCTCTATTATGAGAACCTTTCTGTGTTGGGGTCCACATTTTCAAACCTTCAAAGGAGCTAATTGAAGTCTGCAAAAGCTTTTTTGCTAAACCCTTCACTGTGAAGTTTCCTGGGGGTTCTTTTTCTTCTGTAGTTTCATTTTCTCTTGCCTTTTCTTCAGCTGTGTGGTCCTGTTTCGGTCCCAGTGACTCCTCATTAGTCAGCTGCTCAGGAACCGCCTGCAGGAGCTCCTCCACGTCACTCTTACCCAGACCCAGGTTCAAGTTGGCTGCCATCTTAACCAAAACCCGATTGATTTTTGCAACCTCTTCATCCTTGGCAAATCCCATGGACAAACCTCTTGAGCATCTTCTTCCAGATGCCTTACGTGCATCCCTAGGTGACATCACCCTAAGCATGGTTCTTCGCAGTCATAGATATTATGATCCTTCTAGAATTTCATTAGTATCTTCTCAGAGTTGTTCTTGTTGCAACAGTAGCCCGGACAAAGGTCATGGCTTTAAAAGCTGTTATATTCCTCGATTCACCGGCTGGATCAAAGAGGTGGTGTTTGGATGGAGAATTACTACTATGATATTGGGGTGAAGATCACCAATAAAAGGAGGACGTTCAGGAGCATTACCAACAATAACCAAAATGTTGAAAGACATGTCATTCTCCAAATAGTACTTCTCCAGTTTGCTGCTGTAGCAATTCAGGAAGAGGTGGGTCATCCGTGACTTCCATTTTCCTGCAGTGCACTGGCACTGCGTGCTTGCTGATACGGGTGAAAGCCCTGGGGTTCCCACTGTGCCATCACAAAGGTTTCCATTTGTAGCATGCAGCACGGCCCCCAAGCAGGACTCTCGTCCTGTCCTTCAAAGCCCTGAAACCTGACACTGACTTGGCCTTCTTATGGATTAAAGTCCTTTCAGTCATCCTTTTCTAGAGTGGGGAGGTTTCATCCATACAGAATATCTGCTCTGGCAAGTAATTTTCCTCTACAGTGAGCTTACCTAGAGTCTCCAAAAATTCTTCAGCTGCCCTCACATCAGCACTAGAAGACTTACCCCTCACTTTCACATTCTGTAACAAATCCTTTAAACCACCTGGAGCTGGCAGTACATGCAACATCGTAGTTGGGTCTAGCATTTTCTTTCAGCATCAAAAACGTTTTGCTTTGGCCACGACTGTCAAGGTGCAGAGGGGTATATGCTTCTGTGTCTGGTCTTCAGTCCAGGTCATTGTGAGTTTCTCCGTGCGTGATAGAGGCCCTTCGTGAAATCTGTTAATCTCGTCGCCTCAATGAAGCAGTTTCTTCGACAGCTTCTGTCACTTTGTTCTTATTCTTTAGACTGTAGCTACGGTGGAACTGGTTGTGCCTGACCGCTGAGCAATAACCACCACTGGTTTTCCACCTCTGTAGTCCTTAATTACTCCTAATTTCATTTCCAGGTCAGTATCTTGACGTGGCCTCTCACTGCCAACATTAGCAGTGGATCTGGTATGCTCAGGGGTCATGATGAACAAAACAAACAAGATTAAATCAAGCACAAGAATAATGATGCAGTCAAGAGACGTGGTAAATAGATGCATGAAGCTGTTTCTGGCATAACAAAACATACCGCTTTACAGCAAACTTTAAAAAAATGTTAAGTGGAAAGAGTACATTCTCAAACAACAATGAAAAAGTATAAGAGTAAACATAAACCAGGAACAGTTTATTACCATTACCAAGTACTATGTACTGTACATAAATAACAGTATGTGTTATACTTCCACATGACCAGCAGCAGTCTGTTTATACCAGCATCACCACTAACACACGGGCAATGCGTCACGCTACTATCTTACAACTTCAACATCACTAGGCAACAGGTATTTTTCAGTTCTATAATCATCTTACAGGATCACTACTGTTTAGTCCATTACTGACAAAAACGTCATTATGCGGCGCATGACTATACTCATTTGGACACCTCCCACTTTAGGTCCCCTACGAACAATTCATCACTGTGAAAGGTCTACAGTTGAAGATGTATACCTGTGCCACTTACCTGATTTTTTGTAAGTGAAGGGTCCCACAGTCCTACATCCTCCCATGTAGTGTTTTTCAAATAAAAGTCATTAGGTTCAAACTGTTTAAAATCCTAGAAAACAGTGAAAGAAGTTTACAAAAACATAGTGGTATCAACTCTACCTCAATCTTACTTATACATCCTTTCTCTTAACTAGGGTTGGAGTGATGTACTGGAAAATTAACCCCATCAAGAACGAAATAAACCAGGAGTCACAAAGCTCTTAGGAAATACAAAAAGGCACATGGAAGTTGTACTGAACATTTTATCACCTAAACATTCCCCTAATGGTCTGACAGGTTTCCAAGGAAAATGCTAAAATTCTAATTTAAAACAAATTTAGACACATTTTAATACCAAAGTACCCTTCATTAGAGTCTTGTAACTTCACAGTGGTAGTATTAGAACGGAGTATAATGTCTGCTATAGCGCTACAGATGTGATACTCTGATATCGGGGGTGGGAGAGGGAAGATTGGACGGGGAAGAAAACTCAAGATTTCTGAACCCCGAAAGGAAGGTTTTCAAAGGAAATAGTTAAATTTTATACTCTTATGCAAAAATTTAATGGCCTGCTTCCCCCAGGCTAGGAAGATAGAAAGTATTAGGGTATAATTCCCCTTTGGCCCTAAAAGGTAGTAGGTTCACAATTCAGTGTGGGAAAATCAAGTACATATAAATTCCAGGATATGTAATTGGTGTTAATAATGGGAAGGGAAAAAAAAAACGCAGGATAGAAAAGGTACCTTACTATTTTCATTATTCCTAGAAAGATGACCCCACTGAGTGTGATGTGAACGCACTGTTCCACCAGGCAGCTCTACCTGAACTCGAGGGGTGGGAAGGGGAGTAGAGCGACCTTATGTGCTGGGGACAACATAACTAGAGAAGCTTTAGTCTCCATGGCAAATCCCTAGACTATTGCCGGGAATCAGGAAAAGAAAACCCGTTGAATAAAGGAAATTGCTTTTGTATTTTCAATTCCATCCAAACATTTATTGAGTGCTTATTCTATGCCTAGCACTGTGCTAGGTGCTGGGGATACAGGGATGGACAAGGTGGTCCTGGTCCCCGACCAGCTGGAACTTAAAGCCTAGGGGGAAAAATGTCTTTAAACATTTCTTTTGAATCAGAGGCTTTGTTGACCAACTAACTGTAAGACCTGGAGCAACAAGAACTGGAAAAGGAGGAACCAATGCACTGGCTATCCCACAGGGCTCTTATACATAAAGCTCACAGAATAAAATGCTAGAAAAACAGTTTGTAAAGTCCAAACTGCTACACAAGGGGAAGACAATAGTCTATGATGGGTCAAAAGGGCCAACAAATGCTCACATCCTACATAGAGAGACAGCAAGCACCCAAACCACCAAGCCTCAACAATCGGAAGGTCAACCAGAACACTCAGGTGTATCAGAATGGGAGCAGGCTCTGGAGTCCCAAAGACAGACCCTGCCTGCCAGCAGGACTGACTGTGAGGTGGACCTGTTTCCTTACAGCTTCTTCTTTTGTAAATTGGAGATAAGATTTCTACATCCCTCTAGGGGCTGTTCTAAGGATTTGAATTAGAGACAATTTTAAAGCACCTAGTGAAATGTCTGAAGTGTACGTCCTCAATGGTAACTGCTTTTGCCTCAGGATGCAAAGACGAAGAGCCCATTTTAGCGAGAAGGGATAGGTTAGGCTAGCCGAGAAAGCTCTGGTGAAGCTAATGCTGAGGTTCAAAACCAGAATCATACCTAAGAGTTCACCATCCTGGCCGCTGGCACAAAGTAATGGATCAGAAGCTGAGTCATGTTAAAATTAAAAAATGGCATGCTACTTACTTCTATGTGTTCTTTACAGTATTCCAACCCAATGTCACTAAGTATTTTTTTCACAGTTTTCCGGGCTTTTCTTAAACTGCCAAGATTGTTGACAGGAAGTTGGAACATAGTTTCTATTGGAAAAAAAAATTTAAGTCAAGTCAAAAACATGTACAACTTGTAATATTTACTAATTCCACTGACGGTAGGATCAAAAACCCTGGCCCAGTCTGACAAAAAAAAAGGTGAGTAGACAGCCTCATCCAGCATGTTCTGAACACTTAAAGTAGGCAGGCGAACGAAGTGCTCTGATTTTTCCTATTGTTAACAAGACATTCTTTATTATAGATTGACTGTGAGTCTAACCTGGCACAATTCTGATTAAACTTTTGGTGACGGACTTCCAAAGGTGAGAATTGGGTTAACAATACCAATGGATTATTTTAAAATCAAGTGTGAGTGCCTTTTCCCCTTGTGATGTTGAACCTCTGAAAGTAGAAAATGCTCACCATTTCAGCATCATTACCATATAATTTTTGAGTGCTGGGGAAAAAAGCTTTTGTCTGGGAATTCTTAAAAGTTTCTGTATACTACTTGAACAAAAGACACAAATAATTGTGTGTAACTTGCCCCTCAGCCAGCACCGTCCGTACCTGGACAGAAGCGCTCACTTCTGGTCACAGAGGGAAAGCCGAGATGGGGAAAGGCTGGGCACTCAGCACCAGAGCAAATAATGGTAACTGTTGGGTGACTTGGGGACTCTTTCGAAAAATGAAAAGCCTATGTGTGTGAGGGGATTGAAAAATTATATAAATGACGTAACATCAAAAGAAAATTTAGATCCACTCCCCCAAGTTCCCTAAAAACAAAGGTTAAGATAATAAAACCAATACAACTTGAGTGGTTGAGAATGTCTTCCAATGAGATCATAAATGTTTCTTTATAAAATACAGTAACAATTTATCAATTTAGTTATCTGAATCAATTTTGTAGGACAAAGTAGTTCTATAAACCAAAAACAAAGGCAAAAAAACAACATGAAAAATTAAAGCATGCAAACCTGCTTTTCTAATATAGGCTGTTATTCTATAATAACACTACCATTTATAAACCACAATCATAAAGTCAACTAATCCAAATGTCGTATCATGTTACCTCATTTATTAGACTATGAAAAATGGAACAAACAAAAAAAGGGTGAAGCCTACCAAAACAGCAACTCCTAGAAATTCTGAACCTTCTAAGTTACCAGAACTTAGAAGTCTCAAAATATTCTATATGAAGAACTAAAATTGAGGCCAAAAGAGAAATGTTATTTTACTGAGAAAAACTTATCAGCTGTCTCACTTTCAAGATGGAACTCCTACTACTTGTGAGCATGACTATGGTATTCTCCGCACTCTCTACCATCCAATAATTTGCATAATATTTAGCTAAGAGCAGACTTAGAAGTCACTTCTGATACAATTTAATGTGCATTCAAGGCCAAACCTATACCTTATGGAAACCAGATTGCTAAAGAGACATCTTGTTTCTCTAGTCATTTCATAAACTCTGTGGGCCAAAAGCCAGCAGTTCTTTCTGAATTTCCCAAGTTAATTCTACTTCACTTCGGAGCAGAGACATGCCCAGCAGGCAGCCGTGGCTGGTTTCCTCTGCTTCCTGGGTAAGCAGCTCAGTATCTCAGCAAAACAAATACACAAAGATTTGGAAATGTTGCCACCACTGAAGCCACAAGTCTATACAGAAAACACCTAAGGGATGTCAAACTGTAGCTCAGAATAAAGGAAAATCCATTCTCCAATGGGTAACACCAGGCATTCTGAGTGCCCACCCACAGCTAACAAAGAAGTCTGAAGACATCTAAAAGCAGCACCTCACTGCATGGTAGGTATACAACTTATCCAGCCACCTTTGTTAGGAGAAAGTGGTATGTTCATAAGGATGCTTTATTATGAAAAACATAAAAAGTGACATATCTGCCATAGAGTAAGTCTCAAGTTTACTTACTTGGGCCAAATTAAATAGGCTTATAAATAAAACAGTGATACTATGTATTGGAGAATGCTGCACAAAAATGGTCCTTTGTTCTGTAATTAGTACCTAGGAGGAACCCAAGTTAAAAGTTTACACGGAAAGATGTAGAATATTCTGAGTTAAGATTATAGTTGTCTTCATGACATTTCTAATAATCTTGAGAATTCTATTATCTGCCCCTTTCCCCAGATGGACATGTCCTCTATGTATTTGCTTACAGAGGCCATTTTCCAAGGTTTTGTTCATTTGGAGGTAGAATAACACATTCATATGTTAGCATCCTCAAAAGGATTTACAAAGATTCTTCTGTTGTCCCTCCCCACCCTTTTCCTTTTTCCTTTAAATTAAACACTTTTTGCCCTGGCTGATGTGACTCAGTTGACTGGGCGTTGTCCTACAGACTGAAGGTCACGGGTCTGGTCCAGTCAGGGTGCACGCAGTAGACAACTGACTGATGTTTCTCTCCCTCTCCCCTGGCCGCCCCCGCCGCCATCCCCCGAATCAATAAAAGAGAAAAAAATTTAAAAAGTTAAACACCTTCCTCAGTGTATAGAACAGGCACACAGTATAGGAATATAAGCAATTAGAAGGCTTTCCCCTACTCCTCTGGTCATGCAGCTCCCCTTCCCAGAAGGGGGCCACCATTACCATCACTTGTGTATACTCCTTGAGCTTTTCTATGTCTATATCAAGCCAAACGTTCCTTGAAAGCAAGCCTCCAACAAAGTATCAGTTAATGTCAATTACTATGGGTGATAAGGACTTAAGGGCCTAATATATATTTTCCTAGCCTCCTGCTTGCTGTTAAGAGACATCTTCAAATCAACAGCTGGCTCCCAAGTTTGTTAATGTCATCTATTTGATTTCTTGTTTAAATACTTTTATAAGAAATCACCCCCCGACTCCTCCCCACCCCTCAAAAGCCCTTTGAATTAGAAACCTAAACAAGGTGCTCATACCTTGATGATTGAAGGGTAGTAACAGAGTAAATAGGAAATTAATTGCCTGAGATTAAGGGCAGTTTCTTTTCTTTTGAATAGAAAGACAGCTAAAAAGCAGTATTTACAGTCAGTACTCTTAGGGAGGAAGGTGTCCTACAACATTGTCAAAAGTTTGTGTAGAGGTGGGTTTTGAGAGAGACAGAGAGAGATGGGCTTATATTCCCTCCAGACTCATTCCCAGTAGCTTGATCATCCTTTCTCTTGAGCCACCTTGACTATCAGAATGGCCATTTTCACAAGGTCAGCACCTCTGTCCCAATACCAAGCAGCACTCCCTTTAGCCAAACCATAAACCTCTCAGCTCATGGCATAAAAAAGGAAAATTATCTAATTTAATGGAATGGTACCACTGTTCATCATTTTCGGAGCACCTACACTTTGCCAGTCAATGTACTTAGGAATAGAAAGATTAATAGGACACAGTTCTTACCCTCCAACAGTCTATTGATTCTAAGGGATAAATCGAGAGCACACAGTGGTCATGAGGTCACTGGAGTAAAGATACTTGTTTCACCTGCCCACCTGCCCCTTGGTACCATTCCCGCCACTTCTGGCATACAGTTACTTAGGAGGCCCTTTGTGGAGAGCAGATTGTACATGACTCAGGTCGACCAGCTAGGGCAGTCTACCTCTGTAGACACTGAGTTGCACATGTGCCTCAAACAGGGCTGACAGTGATGCTGAAAAGCAGAGTCAGGACCTGCCACTAAACGAAAGAAGAAGAGGGAGGGAAAGATTCCCGCTGGCACTGCTTAAGGTCTTCCATCTACCTGGTGCCTGAAAGCCAGTCCTACCATCCCAACTTTTTGAAACAGGAGCAAACACATTTTAATTTTTGCTTAAGCTTTGGTTCATATCATTTGTAACCAAAGCTCTTGGTAGACCTAAAGTAGAACACAGAATAAAAAGTGAGTAAAAGAGGGAAGATGGGGAATTTTGTGCAAAATAATTATACTTGTGAGCTGGGTCTAAAAGCAGAATAGGAGTTTGCCAAGATGTAGTTATTCTGAAAGACGCTCTGACCCCTGGTTTCATTAATAAAAAACACTACTCAGGAAAACATTTCCTAAATTCTAATAATTTGAGGAAAGCTCAATGACCTATTGATAGCAGAAGGTAACATTTACAAGTGTTTTATTGACAACTGAAGGTAAGAAACTTTTGGGTAAGCATGTAACACCTGATGAACAAGACTTAAATTTGTTTTCAGAATGATTTAAATTTATTGTTGAATGAATAACTGAGTCACACTCAAATAACCCTTTATTCCAACAAGGTAAATAACCCTTTATTTACCAACAAGGTAAATAAAAGCAGACAGAGACTGTCTCATGAGGAAATATTTACAGGCTGATTCTTTGCAGAAGGATGATGAGATATCAGTGATTGTGGACTTTACTGAAGCAAAGGTCAGTAACTGGGGAAAATAATTATAATCACTTATGAAAACATAGCTCTGCCAAAAGGCTTGGATCCAGGCAGGTGCACTCAAGAGCTTCTGGGTCAGGAAGATGAAGGGAAACCCAACACGTGACCATACACTAGTCTAGTAGGTTCAAGGGGAGGCCTGAAGTACCCGACACAGGAAGAGTCAAAGGGGCTGCTCTCTGTGTGGTAGTTGCTCCGCAAAGCCACTGGATCAAAGATGGCAGGATTTAGTCTGTCTTAGGGGTGGTGGGGAGGAGAAAGCACGCATGACTGTGCCATTAGAAAGTAAGACAAGCCCTGGCTGGCGTAGCTCAGTGGATTGAGCACGGGCTGCAAACCAAAGCATCGCAGGTTCGATTCCCAGTCAGGGCACATGCCTGGGTTGCAGGCCACAGCCCCCAGCAACCACACATTGATGTCTCTCTCTCTCTTTCTCCCTCCCTTCCCTCTCTAAAAATAAATAAATAAAATCTTCAAAAAAAGAAAAAAAAAAGTAAGACAAAACAAAACAACCCCCCCCCCCCCAAAACCTAACCATAAACCTTTTTGACCAGGCACAGATAAATAATCAAGCCAGAAGGAAAAAAAGCCTCCAAATCAAACCTCTCCAGGCTGTATTTTAAGCTACTATTAGTGCGGATCTAGCATGGCATTTTCCAGTACATAAT